AAAGGGTGGGGTTGGACGTAAGAAGCTGACTGACCAAGAACAGTTGGCCTCTGAACAGCGACATAAAGAAGTAAAAAATCAGATTAGAGAAAGTGCTCCGAATAAGACACTAAATTAACACCCCGAAGGGTGATAGTTTAGTGTCTTACTCAAGAATTGAAAACGTTCGTCAAGTATTTTAACCACCATTCGGGGGGTTGTTTAGTTTCTTACTCAAGGGTTAAAACACTTGAATGAGACACTAAACTAACCCTTCCGAAGGGGGTTAGTTTAGCGTGTTACTTAAGATTTCAAAAAGCAAGCAACCCCCCAGAAGGGGGGTTGGTCAATTGTTTTAACCCTCAATTCGGAGCGGTTAGTTTAGTTTCTTACACAAGGTTGGTGGCGTTTTACAAACTTGACCAACCCTCCCTAGGAGCTCCGAAAGGAGCGCCCTGCTCTAGTTGATACAAAGTAGGCGATTATAATAGTAATCAGGTCGTAAGGTCAGAAAGAAATACATCACTGGGATATCAAGTTATAATTGGAAGGTCAACATTAACATATATCTTGAAGAAGGGATGTGATGGTATATGACGGATTCATCTGACTCAATATATGGTAAAATGGCGGAATATTAAATACACTGGATGTCTTAAGCTATGTCTACACTACCTCATTCAAATCATAGATGAAAATGTAAATGTCTGCTGCTGTCTACCAGACAGAAATCTCACGATTCTGAGTTGATCCGTTCTTTTTTTTATTCCCCTGAGAGAAATCTGAAAACCGAGAACAAACGTCATTACAGTCCACATCCCCTCGTTTGCTATATATTTATATTACGTCAGTGTCATTTTAACCAATTAGGCCAGACATCAGAGCAAAATTTTTACGCTTCTAACAGGCATTGTAACGCAAGCTATAGAAATCCCGCAAATTTGTCACCCTCCTCCTAATGTTATCATCCCCTAACACTGTACAGGGGGTAATAAGAGGGAAGCTGTTTCAGGATAAAGAAAATAGTTAACAATAGACATACGGACGGTCAGTGAGAATAATACTCGTATGTGCCCCTTGAGACGTATATAAGTCCTTTGAACCTATGAAGAAACATAACCTCACAATAACTATAACTCAACTGAACATTTATGGCTGTCTGAAGAGGTATTATAAAAATAAAAGCAATAATGTATAATAAACCAGGAATAATCCCTTCCGCAAGTCCGTTAAGAGATACAACAAAGTAACTGAGGTAAAATTAATCTGGATCGAGGTCATTCTTCTAGACGGAAAGAAGGTCTGAGATTCCTTGTAACTTCAAAATGGCACAGATGGTCTGAACGTGAAAGTGAGTTAAATAATAATAAATAAGGAGGATGTTGCCATTCACTTTAGAATAATTTATCTTGCCATTAGGGGACTGATTTAGACGTACTGGTTGCCTATGCTACATCCAAGTTAAGGGACGTTGTAACAAATAAAAATAGGCCTAAATTATAAAGAAAATTTTTAATATTTTAAACTTGCTTTAAACACAGAGAATTTTAAATGAGAACTTATTATTAAAGTAGAAATGCATGACAAGTTTTGTAATTTGTTTAAGATAAATTCGGTGTTTTAAAATAATAATAATTATAATAAATATTCTATTATTTAGGTAGCTCATAATATGAGGCTCTAAGCTGTATTGTATTTAGTTTGCAGATAAATCTGTCAGCCACATATCCTATCTAAAATATATTAACATTAAATATATAGAAATATAAATTTACTTGTTGGCCATTGTGTGTCGTATGAGATGGACTCGTCCGAATCACGCGCTAGAGGGGTGTCAGCTTCAGTTGGCTTGTAGCTCTAGCTGTGTTTAGTTCGGTGCGTCACCGCAGCTGAGGCTGTGCGACCCCCACTACTTCTGAACTCCCCTCTCTCGGCTTACACATCGCGCATTTAGGTGCCACGACTACTCGCGCGACCTCTACTATAAGCGTGTTGTCATATAAGGAATGTTGAAAACCACAAATGGGTAAATGTTAGGTTGTTAAGTTCCTGGTTCATGGATACTGCAGTGCGGAAGACATACACAAATTCAGGGAACAGGCTACAATTGTTGTATATTCTAAAAATAAATGGCGGAAGCAGATACATAAGTGAAGTTTCATGCAATGAAAACATGAAGTAAAGCTTCCCCTGTTCCCAAGCACCATCACGTAAGGCGTAAAGGGAGCATGTAAGTAAAACTCCACATACCCTACACCCCGTCAGACGCGTTGCAGATGAGCTAACCTGCTTGATGCATTGTTAGGATATAAACAGAATTCTCTCCACAACTTTTAATTAGCAGGAACAATAATCAAAGTACTAGGAACACACACAGAGCAAGGCTGTCAGCGAATCCGCTGCAGCAGCAAGGGGAATTGTATATTTATTAAGTTAAAAGCTCGTTCCACATTTGAATTACAACGGATATGAGATTCCAACATAAAAGAATACTATTGTTATCTAAATGAATTAATGTTTTGTTAGTATAAAAATTTCATCGTGGTACACACACATAAGACATCTGTGGCTAAAATTACAGCGATGAAAAAATAGGCCCCGAATATTTATTACAAAAGTTTTTATAATAAAAAATTCCGCATTTGCCGAAAATACAACTAAATATGCTTCAAGGTAAAAGTTTAAAACAATGTTTACCCTGTCCATATGAACTACGACATAAAGGATTTTTGAGAGTTTAGTAGCAAAACGTTTACTTCGCGGAGGAGTTGAGAGGTCTTCTGCAAGTGCCGGCCGCTTTGCAACAAAAGAGCCACTGGTAACCATAGGACTCGATTATTCACCCCACAGCCCGTTAAAGAGACCCACCCAGTTCGTGGAATCAGACTCAGTCATGGAAAGCCCCCTATCTGGCCTAACCACGGCGGAAAAACTACACTAAAATCCAGACAATATGACATGTAATTCTTGCGCGTATTACAGCAAAACCAATCAGCGTCAGTTAGAATTAGCTATCGGTACTGTACGCTTCGTCTCGCGAAAGAACTGATTTTCTAAATCGTACTGCTGATGCGTGCAGTGTTCAGCGTATGACAGTGAAGGTAATTTACCTGGAATAAATGCGCGCCAATTAATAAGTTAACAAATGTGAGTACTGATAAGTAATAATATACGTTTAGCATCACAATGCATGACTAACCCTGTCTGCCTCGGTGTCTGCAGGTCTCGGACTCTGCCTTACGTGTTGCCTGCCGCTCCAGAGCTTTTTAGAGGCGGCACGTCAGAGACCGGTCCGTGCAGAGACCCAGTCAGGCACACACCGCATTCGTCAGAGACACAGTACATCAGAAAATGTCCGACAGAGACCGGTCCTTCAAGGCATCAGTTGCTGGAAATTTTTGAAAAATTTCAAAATTTTAAAAAAATCCAAAAATGCTGGAAATTGTCCAAAAAGCGCACAAAACCCAAAAAATTGAATAATTTCATACTCAATTTTTTTTCGAAATTTTCAAAAATGTTTGGTTTGTGCGGTTTTTAGACTATTTCCAGCATTTTTTGAATTTTCGAAGTTTTTGAAAAATTTCAACATTGTTTTCTAAACTCTCCCCAAGAGATGCCTGCCAAATGGTGAATGACTAACCCTGTCTCTGCCAGACTCGGCCTCTATTTCGCCCGGTTGCGCTCTCCCTCGGTGTCAGCACCAACCGGCGTCTGCAGGACTCGGACTCTGCCTTACGTGTTGTCTGCCACACCAGAGCTTTTTAGAGGCGGCACGTCAGAGCCTGTCAGACAGAGACCGAGTCAGGCACACACCGCATTCGTCAGACACAGTACATCAAAAACAGTCCGACAGAGACTGGATCGGCAAGAAATTAGGTGGGGGAATTTTAAAAAAATTCAAAAAATCAAAACATGCTGCAACTTTTCCAAAAGGCGCACAGAACCAAAAAAATTTGAAAAATTTCTTCTAAAATTTTCATAATGTTTTGTTTTTGTGCGCTTTTCAGAATTTTTTGATTTTTCGAAAAATTGAATTTTTTTTTCTAAAATCTCCCCAAGAGATGTCTACCAAACCCGGTGACTGCCTCACTCTGTCTCTGCCGGACTTGGCCTCTATCTTGCCCGGTTGCTGCCTGCCTCGGTGTCTGTACCAACCGGCCTCTGCACAGACTGCGTCCATCAGAGACAGGGTTCTTCAGAGACGGTCCGACAGAGACCGGTTCTGTCAGCCATCTGGTGGGGAGAAATTTTTCAAAATCTTCAAAAAATCAAAAAATGCTTGAAGTTGTCCAAAAAGCGCACGAAACTAAAGAAATTGAAAAATTTTAAGTTCAAAAAAAATTTCAAATATTTCGAAAATTTTAGGGTCCGTCAGAGACCGGGTGCGTTAGAGACCGATTTTGGATATTTTTTAAAAAAATTCAAATTTATTAAAATTTTCGAAAAATGCTTTAAAATATTCAAAAGCGCACAAAACTAAAAAGTATTGAAAAATTTCAACTACCAACAAATTTTCAATAATTTATAAAATATTTAGCTTTTCCTTTTTGTCATTTACGACTCTTTTGAAAATGTTTTTCAAATTTTGAAAATTTTTCCAATTTTGACAGTCCTTCCACCACATACGTGTATCGGCAGAGACCAGGTCCTGCAGAGAGCATGTCCAGCAGACACTGGGTCTAGCAGAGACCGGTTTTGGCTTTATTTTAGTGTTTACAAAATTATTAGTCCCTGAAATTCATGATACAACTTCAGACATTTTTACACACTTCTGCAACTTCTCATAAGTAAGGATTTTCTTAAACTACCTAAACATTTTTATATTCTGTAATTGATACATTACTAACTCATGAAGCAGGCTGCAAAACTGACATGATTAAAAAATATTGTTGATGTAAATTATTCTCAGATTGGTATGAAGAAAGGTATTGCTATCGTTAAAAAGTCACTGGCAAGTTACACAGCATAATTAATCTGGAGCAATACTTTTGCACAAAAATAGTAATTGAAATTTATGAAAATAAAAACAATATTCCAGCGTTTTATATGGATAATTACAACTGACCACCACATACAAATATTTACAAATAAATACAATATTTACAAATAAGTAAGTAACAATTAATACAAAACTATACATTATCTGACACAAAATCCTTCATTTGTCATAAAATACAGCATTAAAATTTTACAATTACATGTTTCAATCCACACCGCATTTTCTTGTCTTACTAATGTGTAGCTAGTGATTCAAACCAGCAGTTGCACACTGCACTTCAGAAACTGAGGTAGATGTGGAAACTATTTTACAAAGACTGTGTCTATGTTAACAAAGGTTAGTTGGTCCCACAGAGCTTCCAGTACTAACATACACAAAATAAGAAAATCTTGGAAATGGAAAGAACGAAAACAATGCAGTATTTAGTATACTTTTACGACTCTTTGAAAACCGCTAATTTAACATGAAATGGTCTTATTTTTAAGTCACACTGAATGGAAATTATAAAACTGGAATTTTTCTAAAACCAATTAAAATTTCGTGTACTCAATAAGTACAACATGGCTAGAAATAGATAACAAATAATTACTCCGATACTTCAATTTATCAAATCTGATAATGCTGTTCCTTCAGACATCAAACTGTAAAAAAAAACAAGATCAAACATTTGTTTTGTCAGCACCACGAATAACATTGTTATTTTATAAAATCGTAGAAAAATTTTATGCTTTAAAACATATAACTTCATTCTGTAAATTCATTTTAAATTAGCAAATGTAAAATTTATCAAACTAGTCACAAAAGTAGCAATCTTGCAACACCAGGTCCACATGAGTTAAGTCAGGGATAGGGACAAAGAACTGTCTGTTAGTCGCAGTTCAGCAAACCTTGATTACCTAACCCTCTGCAAATTCAGCCTCACATTATCATAAACACTGAAATAATTTAAATGGAAGAATGGTCAGTGTGTCCACTTTCAGCAGCAAACAAAAAAAAATTAAACAAACAATTATGTGAAACTTCTAGATTAGTGTTTCCCGCATACATTAAAAACAAGATGTCTATCAAACCATACATGGAACTATAGCCAACTCCAAGACCATCAGTGACTTCAACCACGCAGAAAAAAATATAAACTCAACATCATTTTAATATAATTGTTTAAAGAATGAGGAAAGTATTTCAGTCATGAGGGAGATAAGATTCTCCAGCACTTCAGTCGCTGTCCACTGGCATGGAAGGTGCAACAATTAAATTCCCGCAATGACCTCATAAACGTTGTATTTAATTATTTATACTAATGAATGCTGTCTCCTACAGAGTAGCCTCCTTGTGCACCAATACACAATGAGTTGGAACATTCCTGGAACTCCTCTTCTAGAATGCTCTTCAGGATGGACTTCACACATCCCTGAAAGTTGGCAATGTCTAAAAATCTGTGGTCCTTCAAAGCAGCCTTCAGTTCTGGGAATAGCAAAAAGTCACATGCAGCAAAATCTGGCAAATATGACGGATGGTCCTATTTCATTATTGATTTTTTGGCCAAAAATTCCTAGACAGTGAGAACGTTATAAGCACCATCTTTGCTGAAACTTTCATTTCCAAAATTTTCAGTCAAAATCTTCCTCTCAGTTTATCTATCTAAATTCAGTTCCTCTGCCATCATTTGTACATTTTTAAAATCATCTGTCAGAACAAACCAATTTCCGTACTTTTTTCACATTTTCATCTGTACGGCGAGTTTTCAGACGTCCAGTTCTTTCGTCGTCTTTCATGTCTTTCCATACCTCTTCAAGCCTTCCACGTAACTCAAAGACTCAACTTTTTTGTAGCATCAGCACCATACGCCTCAGTTAACATATGCATAGTTTCATTCCCACTTTCACTTCTCCAACAACCAATCACTCATTTTCTGCCAGGACAAAAACAAACACAGCTTCAGCAACACACAAGATGCAACCACAGAAATTTCATAACACATTGCCACTTGGCTACTCCTCACACGCTACTCTGAGTGACATATGTGCAGACATTCAGGGAACTTAACTGTCATACCTCATACACGAGTAATAAACATATAATAAAGCAAAGAAAGAAATCTTATAATCCCTAGAAACTGTCCCCATTACAATCCACAAAGTGGCTCATTGCAGGGCCCCGACATGCTTGCATTCCCACAGTGCTAAATGAATAGGTGGTAAGTAAAAAAGTAAAGCCATGTAGGTCGCTTGGAGGGTTGAGAAGGTATAGCTCCTCTCTTCCTTGACCTCGGCACTAGATGGGGGTGAGTGGTCAGCATCACGCCCCGGCTGCACTTTACTCCTGGGAAAGGACCACGGTACCCATCTGATAGGAGGCTGGGTGGGCCCCAGAGCCGGTCTCGACGCAGAGGCTAGCGGAAAAATCCTCTGCCCCCTTCAGGGATTGAACCCCGGTCGTCCAGGCCGTAGCCAGTCACTATACTGACTGAACTATCCCGGCTCAAGTGAATGAATAAGTGATACCATAACTTAATGGAAGCTGTAGAGGGAGATGTCCTACAGCATGAGACTACTGAAAGTAGTTTAATTTTTTCTTTGGCTTCTATAATAATATCACAAATTTTGATTTCCAAAGTCTGACCAAGAAGGACTCTGTTCAACAGATATAGTTAGTTTTATAAACTTTTTTTCAACTTTCTTGAGAGACAGAAACCATGCTCATTTGTACACAGCCATTTCCCATACCGATTATTCATTTATCAAACACAGTTTGCCGAGAATAATTTTGCACTGTGCGCTTGTAAATACACTGAATGAATCTCTTCTTCAGTTAAAAGTATATTCTGTTGTTAAGAAATATTTCGGGAGATGTCAATTTCTGTCAGCAACAGATTGGACATCATGCCACTGTATTGCACACGTACAAAGAGTATTTTTCCTTCTTGTATCACAATGTAAACAGCTGCTGATATTTCACAAGCTAAAGCAGCAATGCATATGCTGCTGATTCTGTGATAAGCTGCACTGAGTACAATGTGAAACGCAGTGAAACTGCTGGCACTTCACACAAAATCAGTAAGGAAGAGGAACTTGGAAAGTCCGATTCACAGTGCAAAACATAAACAAAGTTTTGTGATGGGAAAACAAGAAAAAAGAGGGTGAGATTTGAGATTCTCACAGTGATGAGTATGAAGATGAATGTCTTCTGGGACATTCTGACCAATGTTTCAGAAGAGCGGACTGCTGCCTTCAACAGGGTGATGAGAACTAAAGTGGACGCAATCTAGCAGAACCTTAGGGTTAGCCACTGGCAGAACAGTAGGGGATAACAAGACTTGATTTAAATTACTCTACAAATGGTACACATTCATGTGCGTTATAATGAGTAGCTGCCACTGAAAAGGAGCTACACCAAGTTCTGTGCATTAAGTGAGAATTTTAAAGATAAAAATGTAGTTTCAAGAACAGCAATATTTCAGCATTTGCTTGAACAAATGATGAGAATTAGAAGAAGTTTGCCACATCCCCATTCATATTAGTAATAAAGACCAGATAATATAACTATAACTATGACCTACACATATATATGTTAATACTCACAGAATACTTCAAAATCCAAAAGGTCTGTCAGTTTTTATCTTCAACCACTGACTGTTTATCCATATGCAGAGATATTATGGATGGGATGTGGACAGCACTATCGATGTGAGATGCAAGTTCAGAGTCACTGCCAGAAGCAGTTTGGATAAATGCCCCATCATTTCCCAATGGATTGGACAGAACATATTGATACGCCGTGCCAGGGTGGAGGGATGCTGCCAGTTGCTCCACAAGATTCTGGTCTGTAGGTAAAGTAATGTACTGACCACAACGACCAGTCACCAGAATTGGAGCTGCTTGGTTGAGTGACGCTAATATTTCAGCATTACGTAAACTGTCGTCGACATTACCTTCTGGCAATGATGAGTTCTGAACATAAAGTAACATTGGCTGAGTTGCGTCTTGTTCGTCTGCAGATACTAGCTGCCCTCTCTTGTCACAACCTTCCTTCAGTTCTCTTGACCTGCTACCTGATTCTGGAAGTGATATGTCTTTTGATTTCTGAAACTGCTGGTCTATCTTCATTACTTCCTTAGAACCTGTGTTCTGATTATCTAGAGACAACATAAATTGTTCTTGATCAAGGAGATCGGCAGCAGCACGCAGACTGTCTGTTCCCAACAAGGTAACAGCCCTTTGTTGCTCACAGCTTTCCAAGTCTGATACCAGACTGCTTTCTGCAGCTGAAACAGTACTTGAAAGAACTGATTCTTGGGCTTGGTGTTGCCTCATGTGACTCCTCCAAGAATCCTCACGGACAAACGCCGCATCACAACACGTGCATCTGTATGACTTGTAGCAAAATGGCTTGCAGTGAATTAGGGACTTTGGCAAATTGCATGTGGAAGACCCAACTTTTCCTGCTACTGAATCTTTTGTAGCGCCCTTCCCCCTTTTAGAAACTCTCAAATCAAGATGTTTCTTCTTCATGTGAGTCTTAAGATTTCCTGAAATATGAAAATAATAAAAGTTTCAAAACAGTTTCCGGTTTGCTTGTCGCCAGCATATTAGGAGGTATGTCGCTGTACATCAATATGATATGACACAATTATTCATTTTAACACTTATGGACAATTCAGAAGAGCTCAAATTCATAGCAAAAACAACATCTTAGGGTGAACGAAACTAAAAGAGCATTACCCACACACATACAGATAAGTTTTGCAACATTAAAAATTTGTATGTTAAGCAATCACCAGCAGACAGCATCACATAATAATAATAATAATAACAACAACAACAATGATGATAACAATAACACAACAACAACAACAACAACAACAACACTATTGCTTTATGTCACCTCGTGAAGCTTTGTGGGGCCTTTTGAAGTTCTTTCTTATGCTGGCCCTTAGGTGGTGATAGAACAGATTATGAAAACAATGCAGAAAATTAAGGAATTTAGCAACCACAATATTAACCACCTTGATATTTACTTGGAGTGACTGAATAAAACCACAAAAACCTATAGTGAAGGCACCTGCATACACTATTGAATATGAAGCCATCACAGTTTCTAGTCTCCAACCTTGATTTGAAGAAACATTTAAAAAACTTAGAACATAATTCATGATATCAAAAATAACTACAACTGAAATAAGAGACTTCTTCGTACACACAGTTTTTTTTTTAAAATACAAAATCTTAATGTCCATTTTCATTTGTTTATTCAAGTAAAAAGTAAAGTAAAGTTGTCCCACTATACGCCATGTAAGTCATTTGGCCAGTCTGGACGCAGAGGCTAGATGAAATATCCTCTGTCCCCCCGTCGGTGATCGAACCCCGGTCGTCCAGACCGTAGCCAGTCACTATACTGACTGAGCTACCCTGGCTCCCTGTTTATTCAAGACTTTATAATTACTCTACAGATGGAATTCCATGTGAGATGTGGATTCAACTTTTATTTGATACATGTAAATATCCACATTGATCTGCAAACATTTTGTCTCTGTACGCAGTTAACCTTGACAGAAGAATGTTGGATAAAATTTTGTGTGTAGCTGATAACAGTGACATTCCTTGATAATTACACTACATACAGTTTAATCGCCCTACTTACATACAACAGTAGATTCCTTCCACTAATTTGACAATCCTTCCTTTTTCCAGATAAGTATAATAAGTTTGTGAATCTCAGAATGTAATTTATTACCTCTTGCTTGGATCAATTTTGTGAATGAGTTTGTAATTAATAACTACTTCAACAATCTAATCTCACAACTTGATGTGTACGAAAGAAGAAACAAAAGCTTCACGATGACCACGACTGTTAAAGTACGCTACGTGTCAAATGTCAGGAACAGACACAGCAAAGAAAAGCATAAAATTAAAAACACATACATCATCACACTACCCACACATTACTTTCGCTACTCTCCTATTGGATACTTGACCACTCCTCCACTCCATCATCAAATCTGACTCACCTCCACCTATGGCCTGACGTACATAAGGCTTCAAGAACTCACCCCACTATACATTCGCCTTAAAGATGGCAACTGCAATGTTTGATACACATTTGACACAGCTCATACTGAAAAATCAAAGTTATACACTAAACTCTGTATAACTTACCCTGTTGCCTGCAGGTGTACTGACAATGTTTGCATGAAAAACGTTTGTCTTGTGTGTGTATTCTCAAGTGGCTCTTCATACTTGCAGTGCTAATGCACGTATAGGCACAAATGCCACACTTGAGGACCTCATCTGAAAACAAAATTATTACAAAAAATTAGACATACGTAGGATAACGGAGATTAATTTGCCAACAAGGTCATCACACACTATAAAAAAGTTCAAAGAAGTCTGTGCAGCAAAAGTAAACCTCTTAATTAGGATATAACACCTTTTTTCTTAAATAAGCAACAGAGAAAGAATGTCTTATTACACCTGAGAGTAACGCACAGTTCGGTAAATTAAAAGTTAAAATGTTACTGCAATAATGTTTTTTTTTCTTGGTTACCAACTATTACGCACCTATTATGGAACCTTTCCCATAGGTTTCAAGATAAAAGTGAGGATGTAACACTACACAAGAAGTTACCATGAAAGTTAAATGTCACATTAAAGATACTAACTGGAAGAGAAAAGTACCAAAACTACACACAAATGAAGTAACAAACCAGCATGAATCTTGTCATGTTCCTTTGCAGCTCTTTTTGATGTGGATACATGATTGCAGCTACTGCATGGAATTGATTTCACTTCTGTGTGGTTAAGCCGTAAGTGGACTTGGAGATTTGCTGAAACAGAACTGATTTATTAAAATTCATATTTAATACAGCTTCTCAAGAAGCCCTACGCTACAAGGAGTTAATTACAGAATTAATATTTAGTCTGATGCCACTTCAATTAGCACAGGAGCATTAGGTTTTGAAAACCCTAGATTTCAATAAATTCTGTGGCATTTTTACAAGGGCATATTGCTAACAGACAATCATTACTTTGCATACTTTCATATAACACATATCCACTTTAAATTGATTTCTTACGAGAGAAATGTTTTTGTTACTACAACTCATGTTCACATGAATGTGAAATAAAAAATTCACTATGTAATTGCATGTGCTGCTAGCGTAGATTGTCTTGTACACACCTTGAGTAAACAACGTACAATCCAAATATTTTCTTCTTGTACTTTGTGCAACGAACAGATAAAAAAATAAACAACCAAGTTTTCTGTGTATAGAATAAATAATACAAGCATTAGATGCTTGTGGAACTGTCAATAAATAACACATCAATTGTTTAATGTTTATGAAACAAGGGCTTTCACTCTAACTGCACTTACATCTATTTCCCAAATTCTACTTCAACTTATATTTATATGTACGAACTGAAACTTCGCTGTTGATAACATATAAAGGACTCACATTTTATGGCACATTTATAATCACAGAATTCACAGGTAAATGGTTTCTCTCCAGTATGCATTCTGGCATGCCTCTTGAGGTCTGAACTTGTCTTGAATGCTGAGGAACATGACTCATATGGACACACAAATGGATTATCACCTAAAAATATCAACATTTTTACACTTGGCATGTCAGAATTAAACAAAAAATTAAAAATTAATTAATTAAAAAATTATAGCAGATTTCAGCATTTGTCGGCATTATTCATCACAAAGAAAGAGTACTGTGCAGCATATTTCTGTCCTCAAAAGAAGAAAGAAAATGATTTTTAACAAAGATATGACCAAAGCATGTAAAGCCAACTCCTTTGCATTGGTGGCATTTCCCATGTACCCTTCACTCGTCTGACTGTGACTGTTTGGGCACTTGTGCATGCCACTGGTTATTGTTACAGACGCACCCACTGATGATTCAAATATTCTGGTTGTCAGCATTTTCTGTCTGGTTCCTCATTCATCAAGTTTTGTTTCTAAATCACTTGGTGCTGTGGAAGAATAAGACTACTTGGAACATTTAAAACTTGACCACTTATTTCCTTAGAACTTATTTGAAACTGAAATGTTTTTGTTTCTTTGTCATCAGTCTTTTGGCTGGTTTGATGTGGTCCCCCATTTTCGCCTATCTTGCGCCAATCTCTTCATTTCCACATATTTATTGCAGCCCACATCCTCAAAAATCTGCGCCACATATTCCAATCTTTGTCTCCCCCTACAATTCTTCCCTTCAACTGTTCCTTCCATTACTAAATTAACCAATCCTGGGTGCTTCAGAATGTGTCCCACCATCCTATCTCTTCTTCTCGTAAGATTTTACCATAGACTTCTTCCTTCATCTGTCCTGTCTAAGACCAGCTCATTTCGTACTTTATCAGTCCACTTAATTTTCAACATTTCAAATGCTTCTATCCTTCTTCTTTCTGGCTTTCCCACTGACCATGTTTCGCTTCTGTATAGCGCTGTGCTCCAAACATATAACTTCAGAAAAATCTTTCTTAATTCCGAAACTGAAATATGACGATTCAAAATTAAGATACAGTCCACCTTCAATTCTGTGTCAGTTAATCTCAGTTCAGTACTCAGTACTGACACAGCAATACTGCAGCTGAAATGTGGGCATTTTCATAATGAATTATGACAGGTAGTGTATGCGATCAATGCTGCCCTCAACTCATATCTGTAGCAGGAAAACATAGCAGGCCATTCTATATGCATGTGTATGGACAATTTGGAAGCAAATCACATAAAATAAGAGTTGTACCACAATATGACTTTTAATACATACATAATGGAAGTCACATTTCACTAGAAGACAGTCAGAAGAGTACAATGGCAATGAATTTAAATGGAATACTATGAACAAAGAATATGCATATCAGTTTATAGGAAAACAACTAAACGAGTCACATTATATGCAAGCATGCAACAAACTGTTTCTGAACAGTCCTTTCCCACTATTTTGAAGACACAAACTAATACCTCATTAAGACTCTGCAATCTATAACAGATCCAGTACCTCTAATGACTAAGATATGAAAACAGAGGAAATCCACAATTTCCTGTCAATTATTGGCTGCATGTGTCATTACCAGAGGTACAGCATTAGGGATTACATACTACCAACAGAACACATGCATTTTTTCCACAAACAAATGGCGTGTGATTGTTTCAGCATATTTTAAAAGGCTAAGTATATTGAAATCTGCCAAATATGAGTGCTCTAGACCAGTGGTATTCAACCTTTTTTGTTCGTGTACCCCCAGATATAATTTCTCTTCAACTTTGTACCCCCAAAGTTATTGGTGTATAATTCAAGTTATACATAGTATATAACCTACATCTAAAATAAATTAAATTACATTACTGATTTATTTATTTATTTAGTGTTCTGTCTGACGACAGGTCCATACGAACAGGATCCTTGCATCCTTTTCTCGGACTAGGACCTGTTCATATACGTTCTTGGCAGATGATCCAGAAGTGGTTTGCCATTGCCTTCTTCTGTGTGTGAATG